CACCGTGGTGTTCCCTCTCCTTTGTTCCTTAGAGCAAATAACTCATGTTTTCGGTTGTAAAGTGAGTTACAAATTCATGGCAAGTAAATACAAAGCCTACTCTGCCTCAGGTGATGGTGTTTCTCTGGGTTTGCCATGGACTGATTGGTTGGTTTGTAACTTCCACAGTATATGATATGACCTTGTTTGTTTTGGGATGGTAAAGGTTGTAAAATGGCACCTGTATGACCTTTACCCACCTGTGCTGCTGAGCTGGTTTAGTAAAATCTGAAATAAAAATGTATTCATGAAGAAATACATCACATAAGAAGTATTGTTTAGAAGATGCCAGGGGAGTTCAAACACCAACATAGAAATGGTCTGTGTACCTTTCTGTTTATTTATCAGTATCTCCTTTCTAAACACTTAATGTGTTTATAAATGGCTTAATGTGGCTTCTTATTTTGAAATAGATCTCATTTTGTCTGCTCTAAAGCAGCATTTAAACAGGAGAAGCTGCATGGGATGCCTGTGCTCTCCCCTTGGGGAAAAGGGTGGTTTGCAACCATATTTGAAGAACAGGCATTTGTGCTCTTCCCCGTTTTGAATCGAGCAGCTGAACAGGGCAAAGCTTCGGCTCTTAAACCCGGTTATGTTTGTACTTGGGTACTTTGTTTATGCGAAACAAAGCTCAGTATTAGGCACCACTGGTTACTGCCAGCTGGGCCCTCACTCTCCCGTCACAGCTGTGCCTCCAGCGGCCAGCCCTGCAAAGAATGGCTAATTAGAGAACCGGGCAGAACAAAGCCCACACAGTGGGGCTGCCACAATGGCATTCCTGTCCCTGCACGCTCAAAAGATTGATTTTATTTCTTTATTCGCCCCCCCCCCCGTGCCTATAGTACAGCACAGATCAATAAGTGCTTCTTCTCCCCTATGGAGGCACAGGCTCTTCCACTATTTTTTCCCCCCTGAGAACATGCATTTGCACGGGAGTGACAGGGAAACGGGCAGGGTTGGGCACAGTGCTGCAATTGGGAGTCCTCTGAGGTTTTCATACCTTAGTATGCATTGCTTCAAGTGAAAATGGTAATTAATGTGTGAATGTGTTAGGTGATATTTTATTGTCAGTGTAGGCGGAGCTGTAACTGGATGAACCCCAGCATTCAGTTAGAAAACGCAGTTCACAATTCAGTACAGAACCTGAATGTACTCTAGTTAGGCTTGCCAGGTTTCCTGTCTTTCCTGTGGGCTCACCTCTTCCAAAGTAGGAAGTTCCCAGTGAGGGGAGGTGTGTGTCCAGCTATAGGTGCTCAGTTATACTCTGAGCCTCTCCACTGACTGTCACGGTCTGGAGAAAACAGCTTCCCTCACCCAGGTCATTCTGGCAAGCACCTCCGTAATCCCAAACTTCTCAGCGGTATTTGTGTCTTAAAATTTCTGGAAAATCCGAGTATCCAGCTGAATGCTTCATTAGTGTCATCTTATTTGCAGTGTGAAATTAGAGAATAATTATACTTCTAATGGACGTGATGTACACAAGTTCTGTGAGTGGCTGATCTAAGTTTTTATTAGAACTTCCACTGAAAGTTTTGCTTTCAAGTTCATCGAGGTTTTAAGGGGTAATAATTCCTTATGGTTTGATCCTTGGCTTGGAAGGGGAAAGCCAGATCCCTGCTTCCAAGTCACTGGTAAGTTTGTGGAGTTGGCAGTGCAGCCTCAGTGAAGCTGTTTGCTGGCTGTGCTGGGACTTAAACTGAGGCAAGGGTTTTCCTTTTGAAAGAAAATCTGCAAATACTGTTATTTTGGGGGGGAGAAAAAAGTATTAGGTGTTCTGTTCCAGAACCTTTTAAAGAAGGGCATGTCTTGAATTAACTGCAAAATTTAAAGTTGTTTCCCTCTGTATTCTGTTCAAGTTCGAAGCAGAGGGTGAGGAAGGTTCAATGCAACTCGTCGTGTAATAACCTCCCTCCCCGGATTTCTCCTGTACTTTAGACCTCAGAAGTTGCAATTTCCTTTCCCTGCGTTTAAAAAATAAAATAAAAAAAAAAATCACCCTGAGTTTACAGTAAACCTGAAAATCATTTCAAGTGGGCAAAAGGAGGTCGCTTTGCTGCACGCCAGGAGCCCGTGAAGTGCTGCCCGGGCAGGGCAGGCTGGTTTTAATGAGGGCAGCTCTAATGACTCATCAGCCTGACTCAGGGCCTTTTCATACAGAGCGTAATTAGATCGGGAAGGCAGAATGAGCTGGAGGTCAAAAGTGTAAGTGGATTTAAGGAGAAGAAAGGGGTGAGCTCACAGGGGACGAACTGGGTGTCTGTGAGGGTTTTTAGCGGGTGGTGGATTCGTCGGGGCTGGTGCTCGGGGTGTTTGGGTTAATAATATGGCCCTAATGAGTGGCGAGGTGACTGACGGCTGCTGAAATTTTAAGCAAACAAGGTTGTGCTGTGGCATCAGCGTGTGCTCTTCCAGTGTTAAGGTCCTGGGGGCATCGCCCCAAGCTGACATGTCTTGCATTTACATTCCTAATTTTGCAAAATAAAACGAAACACACAGCTGTAGTAGTAAGCAGTGCTGTCGAAGTATTCGGTCTGTTTGATGTGCCAGGATCACAGTCTGCTTCTTATCTGCTCTATCACTGCTGCACCTTGTATGTCACACAAAGAACAAGGAAGGTACAAGGAAATACTTGGGCCCTTGTGCCCTGGCCCAGCTAATTTGTACCAGGACGTTCAGATCTGTCTTAAAACCAAAGAGCTGTGAACGCCCCTCCTTTGGATTCGGTTTCACTTGATCTTCGGTTTAGAAAGCCCGTGCTAAAAAGCTGTCAGGAGAAATAATGACCAGAAGTTAAAGGAACCTGAGAATGACGGACTCAGCCAGGTCACGGACTCGGGGAGCTCTCCAAGGAGTCAGTCAGTGTAAGTTCCTCGTTTTCCATTTCCTGGTTTTTCCCCAACTCTGCGTTTCTAGTGATGCTCAGTGATCCCATTTAATCCAGGCTGTGCTGTGCCAGGAATTACACAGAAGTATGCGAGGAGAGCCCTCATCCTGACAAGTCTCTAGTTGATTTTGAGCAGCCCGTGCACTGTAGTGATGTCCAGCACCCCTCTGGGGAAGCAGCTTGGAAAGGGGCTGCAGATCAGGAGGCAGGTAAGCAATTAATGTAATCCTGTTTAATGCAACAAACAAATCCCATCTTTCGAGCCTGATGGCAGGATCTTGCCTTGCCTGTGAAGATTTTAAGTTCACCTTTGTACGTGTGATGTTCCACTGGAAAGCAGTGGGATTACCTTCAAAGGGAAGGATTACAGAGGTTTGGCTCTGAAACCAGCCCTCATAACACAAAGCAGGTTGCTTTGCTGTTGCACAATAATAAACTGCAAAAGCCTGTTTGCAGGTGACTCTGATTCTGCGGTACACAATAAAATTGCCTTCTTTCCCCCATACATAAAATTCAAAGTGCTTAATAGCTATTTGTTAGTGTGCATGGGGATTTTTGAATGCTGTTTGAGAAATTCCATCGCGAGGAAATATTTTTACACCTCCTCTATGTTTACATAACAAAGTATAATTTTTACTTTGTGAATACATCAGAGATGTGAAGTCTCACAGAATTTCTAATTAAGCACAGAGGAGCAGTAGCCTTGGGAGCAGTTTCTCAGCCAGAACAGGCTCATCTCTAGCAGCAGAAAACCACGTGTCTGACCATGCAGAAGTAGTCACAGGTAGGACCTCCTGATGCCAGGATCCTCTGGGATTATTTGCTCCATCCAAAGGCCAACCTTACCAGTCAAGACTGAGATGTTGGGCTTTCCAGAATGGTTTGTCCCAGAGCCCACAAAAAGTTATTTTCTCTTGAGCTTTAAACTGATAAGAAATGGTTTAAGATGTAACTAATTGAACCACTCCAGTTGTTATAATTCAATGACATTTGCAGCATGCCTTAGGTCCTTAACTAAGATTCAAGGACGAGCTTTAAATAAATCACAAAACCACTTGGAAACTTTTTTGTGTCAGAAGTTCAGCCCCTAATAAATGATTCAGCTTCGAGGCAGGTCACAACCGCTTCCCCTCCTTTCCCTCCTTCCTCTCCCTTCACATGAATAAAAAATAGGAAGAGAGAGCGCACTGGAAAAGGGTGAAGTGTGGCCTGTAGAGAAAATGGGAGTGTTTTTTGCTGCACAGCAGAGAGCAGAGTGGGTTTTGGGGCAGGTTTTGTGCTGGGATCCGATAGCACGGCGTTACTCCAGCCCTGCCCGCCCCGCTATTTATTCCCGGGACAAGAGGCGCATTGTGAGCAGGGCTCTTGATTTTTCTCTTTGCTCACTTCCTATTGCTGTACTGGTGTTGAGCAGGCTTGTGCTTACACTTGGTGAGGCCAGAATTGAACCACGTCCTGAGAAACACAAAATATTCCTCATCCCAGTGATATATCTACATGTCTGTGGGGTCATTTTTTTTTTGTTTCCCCTTATTCACATGCTGGAAAGTGTTTTTTTGAAGCTCTGGCTTCTTTCAAATTGTGTTTATTATTTTCATACGAAAGAAAGCAAAACAAGCCTTTTGAGGTACTGTCACTTTCTTAAAAGCTGAAAATGCCACAGCCCAGCCCCAGCTTCATTCACACTTCCCCTGTGCCGTGCTTCCAGGCTGATGCTACAGCGCGGATCTGTTTACTACAGGGTGGATCTCTTCGTGTTTTGCTGAGTTAAAATGTGATGTGTTAACTTGTGAGAGTGTGTGTCAACTGATCAGTGAAGGGATAGATTGTCTTAAATCACTAGGGGTTAATATGGAAGCTAAAACAAACGTGGAAGGGTTTTGCTGTTCGTGGCCTGCGCCATGGCTTCTGAGTCATCGAGTCGTCGTTCCCGGTGATACCTGGAATGTTTGCAACTCCTGAAACTTGGCTCGTGAGGCAACCAAGGCACCCCCCAACTGTTCTTCCTCAGCCCTGTTTGCTCCCTGTTGGTGTGCTTTGCCCCTGTGGTGCTCAGTGTCCGTTTTCCCTTCCCCAGGACCTCCAGGCGTGGGTGAATGGTGCTAATGAGAACGGCTTCGTGCTCGTCTCCTTCGGGGCTGGAGTGAAGTACCTATCGGAAGACATCGCCAACAAGTTGGCACATGCCCTGGCCAGGCTGCCCCAGAGGGTTATTTGGAGGTGAGTGCACTGGGGGAGGCGCTTGGGGTGCTTTGCACCAGCCTTGTTTCCTGCTGTGCCATCTGAACCTGGAGTTGCAGAGGCTGGAATTGACACAGAGCACCTGACTCTGCTGAAAGGCACTCCTCATGGAAATAGTGCAATTCCCCAGCAATAAAGGGGAGCACTGATTTTTTTTTTTTTTGTGGCACAATAAAGCATGGGTTACATTCCTGTGCCCAGTTGATAACCTGGAAGGATTGGGGACAGTGAAAAGAATCTGAGGTTATAACATCTGTGACATACTGTCATCATTTTTGACAAAAAAGCCACCCTGGGGCTCAAGAGTGAATCCTGATGATTAAATCCTAGGTTTTCTTCTTTCCCTTTACCCTCACTTTTTTAGGCCCCTTTTCCATTTTCATCTGTGAACACAGGCCTTCATTATTGATTTTCTCACTTGTTTTTTCTTTTTTTTTCTGTGAGAAATTGGAGGGAGAGAAATCTGCAGGAGTCAAAATCAGCAATAAACTTTCTCAACTCTGAAAACATCTTGAGTGGTGCTCTCAACTCGCTGGAAAAACCCAAAACTTGTTTAGTCAGCTCTGCTTCACGTGGAGCATCAATGATTAATTTGGAGGAGTTCATGTGAACCGTTTATTTCTAAATAATCAGTGTCTCTCAATGCCTGCCTTGCTGCCCTGCTGTTGGAGTTGTATGAACGGGCTATTTAGCAGCCTGTTCCCTGCCATCTCTTAAGGAATGTCCTCACTGCTGTGTGTAATTGAAGTAGCAAACCCCACTAATGAACAGGAAAATGGGAATTCTTCAGCCTGTGGCACAGAACCTGGGGTAGTTGGAGTAAAGATTGCATCACTTTTGGTTTGGGGTAGAGCCAGTTCTAGTCAGTTACTGCTTGGCTTCCAGTCAGTTACTGGTCCCAGTTGATCTTGCTGCTTTTCTTCTCTGTCCTTTCATTATATTTTCCCTGGAATGTTTCTCTGTACAGGTATCCACTTTTTGTAGTAAGTCAGTCAATTTTAACAGATTTTTTTTTTCTTGATGATAGCTTTTTTAATGCCAAAACAACAACTTCAACTGAAGCCTTCTATTAGATGGCTGTTTTTGCTAGTGTTTCCTTAACATTTTTCACTGTGGTGGATTTTTCTTTTTGTTACCTGCAATCTATGATTTGCTGAATGGCTTTTTGGATAAGGGAACCCACCTGCTGTTTCTTTCCATCATGATTTATAAAATGGGAAGATGTCCCTGGGACAAGGTGCAAGACATGATCTTTTGGAGAGACGGGCAGTCGATCCACCCCAGTGGGAATTTGAGATCCATAATTAAATACCTAAATATCATCAGTCAAACACGGCTTGGAGTTTTTTTGGGGGGGTGGTTGGGTTCATTTTTGACATCATTGACCTATGTCTGTGTTGGACACAGGTGGATTTATAGTGGATATTTCCAGGAATGAGAGAGGCGGTAGTACAGCTTGGCAGTCTTACATCACTGTGATAAACCAAGGGAATCTTTGTAGTTCTTTGGATTATGGAGCCCAAACTAGTAACTGCTTAGTTGCTTTTCTGTAATTTAATGTAAATTGTCTTCTAATAATACATAGAGAATGTACGAGCCAGTCCTAAGTAAGTCTTGCTTAATTGGGAATGAGTGTGTGGTTGTTTAAGTAACTGTTCAAATGTTCTCCAATAAACAGAATATTTAAGTGGGTCGATGGAGCTGCCACAGAACAGCTCTGTCCTAGAGGACTCATTCTGGAGGTCTTGATAACTCCAGCTTCCATTTGATTTTTCACTGGTTTAGGTTTTCAGGGAACAAACCAAGGAATTTAGGCAACAACACGAAGCTGATTGAGTGGTTACCGCAGAACGACCTCCTGGGTGAGTATCTGTTCTGATCAGACACTGCCTATTCTCACTTGATTTCAGTTTGCTCTGCTGAAAATATTCTGCTGAATGAGCAGTTATTGTTAAGCCAGGATTGCTTCTGTCATGCAAGTCAGAGAGCAAGGTACAGAATTAGGATTTCAAGATGATAGCTGAGTCCCTTGAGGATATGAGAGGCCACAGAGTGTTTCTGACTGTCTCTGGGATACCTGGATGTTTGTGTTCCCCAAACAGCTCCAGCGGGTGCTGATGAATGCATTAAACATCAGTGTGTGTGTTGTGTGTCAGCTGGAGTATTTATCCTAACGTGGTGATTAGGCAAATGACTTCTAAAGCAGGTAGATTGTTTTGGTTACAGAAGTGCTCCGAGGCAGTGTGATTTTTTTTTTATTTTTTTTTTTCCCATTCCATGGAGCTGTTACTGTGGTTGTCAGTGTTTCCTGGCCTGAAGTAAGGCGTGGGAGGCTTTAGAGAGAGCATAACATCAGTTGTCCTGCATTTGAAGCTCTTGTGTTTCATCCTCAGACGTGCTCTCCCTCGCTCACTTGTACTGCTAAACCTGCTGCGGTCACCACCTGCAGCTACTCGCCAGTGAGAAGTGCATGTTAATGACTCCATTAATCATTTTACATGACTCATATACATGAGAACTTTCTTTGCTTGGGCTGTTCCCTCTCGTAGTGTATCGGGAAGTGATTTAGTGCATGAGGAATTTCAGCAGAGTGGGCTTAGGGAGAACTTTAGAATAAGTTGAAATAATTTTGCCTTGCCTGAGTTTCAGCCGCAGAAACACTGACAGATATGTTGTACCCAGGTGCTTCAATAACTTTACAATAGGGAGATACAAATGTGTCTTTTAACCTTCATGCCTCTTCTGTTTTCAGGTCACTCCAACATCAAAGCTTTCCTTAGCCATGGAGGTTTGAACAGCATTTTTGAAACCATGTACCACGGGGTCCCAGTGGTGGGGATCCCCCTTTTTGGAGACCATTACGATACCATGACCCGTGTGCAGGCCAAAGGCATGGGAATACTGCTCAACTGGAAGACTATGACTGAGAGTGCACTGTATGAAGCCCTAGTAAAAGTTATTAATGACCCCAGGTATGGCACGAGGGGTTTTCTGCGGGTTAAGTATGACTGTACCAAACCTTTGTGCAGTGGGGGGGAAAAAACTGCACGTTGGGTTTTATTTGTCTGTACAGCTGGGGCAAGGCTGTGGCTGTTTGTCCCGTTTCCCAGGATTCCCCAGGGCTGAGGTTTCTGTGTAGGTGCTGGGCTCGTTGCTCCCTACCAAAACTCGGTTGTCTCACGTGCTCTTTGGGGCAGTTGCCATGTGGAGGGCAGAGAGGTTATGGAAACAAACCTGTCCTGACTTATTCCATGCTGCAGACCAAGGTCTCCCTGTGTCTGTCTGGATTCTTCCTTACTACCAGCCTGGCTGTTGTGCTGCCTCAGAGGCCTGGAGCAAGATACACATACACGACTTGGGTTGTAGTTTAGAGAGGGAGGTATTCACTAAGAGTGACTCTGAAGTCCCATGATCTGATTTTAAAAAAAAAATTCAAACATTTTCCTGTTCTAGTTAGTAATACCTGTCTTAATTCAGGAATGTCATTTTTGCATTCACACAAATTTGTCATTTCACAATGACAGTATTTTGACAAGTCGTTATGAATGAGGACTCCAGTCTGATTTTCTTTTTTTGTTTGTTTTGTTACTCAGGGGAATAAGTGCAAGCCTGTGAGCTGAGTTTGAGAATTCTTTCTAATTCCAGCAAATAATTTCTTTTTCAACAATCCTTGTGTGAGGAGAGTCACTCCACGAGTTGGTTCTGAGTGTTCTGTTTTAAAACACCTTTGTTGAGAAGACCTCCAGATGAAAAGTAGTGAGGTGTTAGCTGGCAATATATTGTATTGGCTAACCCTGACTTTGGAGCACGGTGCTGTTGATGCTTCTTGCTTTCTTGGGAGAGGAGTCTTCAAGTGGTGCTTGCCCTGGGGAAGGAGAATCCTGTAGGGATCGAGCAGCAAAGGGGAGGAGAGAGGGGGGATGTGCGGCAGAGAGACCTCGATAACATCAGTTGCATCACCTTTCCCTTGTGCAATTACCCTCAGTGAAAAGGCAAGTCGTGTGTGAATAACCTGCTGACCCTGCAGGGAGGAGAGGAGCAATTTGACACGATGAGTCACTGGGGTGAAAACGACAAGTTTTAGGTGAAACTCCGGCCGGGAGCGGAAACGGTCCGTTGCGAAACCAGCCCCGGGTTTCTCGTCCTTCTGCATTTCTCCACTTGCCCGATAGCGTAACGTGGTGATTTTTTTTTTGTTTTCTCTCTCCCTTTCTTCCCCCTTCCTCGTTTGTTCTCTCCCCCCAGCTACCGGCAGCGGGCGCAGCGGCTGTCTGAGATCCACAAGGACCAGCCTGGCCACCCCGTGAACCGGACTGTGTACTGGATTAACTACATCCTCCGCCACAACGGAGCCCAGCATCTACGTGCCGCTGTTTACAGCATCTCCCTCTTTCAGTATTTCTTACTGGATATCGCCTTTGTCCTTCTAGTGGGTGCTGCCTTACTTTACTATGTGTTGGCCAGGGTGGCCAGGTTTGTCTGCAGGCAGAGCAAGCAGCTCTGGTCGAACGACAAGCACAGCGCCGTGAACGGACACTACCAGAACGGGATCCCCAACGGCAAGTACAGGAGGAACGGCCACATCAAGCATGAAAAGAAGGTGAAATGAGCCAACGGCCCCCCCCAGTGTAAAGTAGTAACGAATCAGATCAGTAATCGAATTTTATCGCTGTAACTTAGCCTAACAACTACTTAAAAAGAAAAAAAAAAACAACAAACCTCGGTAAGCAGTTCTAACACTCCCCTTCGGTATGTAATATTATGTGACAAAATTCTACGGAACTAAGAGAAGCCTTTAAAAAAAGAAAAAGGAAAAAAAAAAAAAAAGAGCAAGCAAGCAAGCAAGCACAACCTAAAATGGAAAATGTTTTATTCTTAATACTGATGCAGAGAGGTTATTTTGGCACTGAAGTTTTTAGAAGCCTTAATTCTCTATAAAGTTCTATACGACGACCGTATTTATGAATTTTGAGTTTTTTAAAAGCTCAATGTGTGTGTCCCAAATGAGGAGAGGTTTCTTTTTATTTGCAGAGGTGTTCTCCTTTTATTTTTTTATTATTTTAATATGTCCATCCTTTTAGCTGAGAGAACTCTAGTGCTAGTTCTGTGTTTCCTTCGTTGGAGGTTCAACATGTTGTGTAAGAATGCTGTTTAAAACAAAAAGTTCTTCCCAGTCTTTATGCAAGAAATAGCAAGTTGCAGACTGAAAACACAGACCTTAAAAAAAAAAAGAAATAATCTTAATGAGCACTGAAGAAAAATGGCAAAAATATGTACTTGTTTTACTGATAAGCTGCATGACTCTTCTGCTCACTCCCAGTACTTCGGCGAAAAGGGTCTTGAGCAAGCCTACTGTAGGTCCTAATTTTAATTTAGACAAAATTTCATTTGTTGCCTTTCTCTGCATAATGTAATTTATGCCACGAAAATATTAGGGAGTTCTGTTCCAGTTCAAAAAATATGGCTGGGTGGGGAAGTAGATTTGCGTAATTAAGAAAAACAAATGAAACAACAACAACAACAGCAGCAACAAAGAAAAAGATAAGAAAACAGTAAGAAAATCTATCCCTGTGCTTCGTGCAGGAGGTTTTGTAACGGCCCAGAGCTGTGCAGAATCGAACCACTCCTTGGGGTCTGTTCAAAAAGGAACCAACCAACCCCCAGCAAACACCCCGCACTCCCCCCAGAGTTGAATGTCTTTCCTTGTTAATTCTCACGAAGTTCTTTCGGAATCGCAATGTTCGTAGCTGTTCTCTTTCAATGGTTGTATCTGGAAAAAAAAAAAAACCAACAAAAAACCAAAAAAACACCCCCTCACCACAAAAAAACACCTCCCCAACGGAAATCTTCCCTTCCATTAGTCTGGGCCACGCCATCCATGTTCCGCATAGTTGCCAATGGGAATTGCGCGCCGCGGGCGGGCGTCCGGCCCCGGGCGGCGCGGGATGAAGCCTGGCCGCTGCTCTGGGGAGGTGGCCGTGGCCGTGTCCCCCCCACTTTCCCATCCCTGCAACAATCTCCTCCAATCACTGTCGCCGACACGCGGGACGCTGGCGCCGGGCTCCGCTCCGAGGGTGGGACGCGCGCTCCGGGCGCCGCCGCCCTGCTCGACCAAAGTTGGCAACTATGAGGTTTTTTTTTGATTTCCACGTCATTCTGTTTACTTGGAATTTTTGCACTACACACGTTGTGAGTGTACGCTTTTATTTATTTGTAGTTCTGAGATCCCATTTGCCTTGAGAGGAGAGAAAAGGGAGGAAATGCCCCGTTTTTACCCGGTGTCGCTCACTAACATGGCAGGAGTTGGGAATGATGATGGGATGCTGAGCTCATCTTCATACACAGTGATGCAATATTTCGCTTGTCATTCCATCAGGAGCCTCGGTCCTATAGCAATAAAATAACAGTGCAGATATGTTTCTAATACACAGTACAGCTACTTGTACTGCTTTCCGAATACTTGAAGAAAATGGTGTTATAAATAAGCCTAGTAGCTATTCCTTTTTACAATCTTGCAGTTCGTGGCAACTTAAAGGAGCACACAAGAGGCAATGAATGGTGGGATGGTGAGAAGACTTCGAGTGTATGAATGACTTGGTTCAAATGTGGGGGAGGGGGGGGGTTTGGCATTAAAGAAGGTACAAAAGCACTGACCGGATGATTAAGCATAATTTAATCTCCACTGTGATAAAACTTAAGCAATAAACATGGATTTAATAGAGAAATTCTGTGGTTGGGAGTATGTTTTTGTTCAGTTGAATGGTGGTTGTTTCGAAGCACCCTGGGGGTGGTGTGTGTGTGTGTGCACATAAGTGTGGGTGCTTACTAGGATGCACATAATTTGTCTCAGTATGTACTGTGGGGGAAATAAAAAATTATTGGGGTTTTTTGTGACTGTAGATCTGTTTCCTGTAGCAGCTTTGAATCCATTGAAAGGCAAAGTGCTTAACTAGGTTTCAAAATGCTTAACTAAGGCAGTTCAAGCTTTTCAAAGTTTCTGGGTGTCCCTGGCAAAGTGTCTTTTTTTTTTTTTCTTTTTTTTTAACCTGTGCGTGTTATTCCTTCAGAAGCAGAACCTAAAGGTTTTTCCCAGTGATGCTGGATGAGATGATGGATTGTTTTGGATAGTCTCTGTAGATACAAACATGCTGCAGTTCCGTTGCAGGAAGAAGAAGATGCTGCTTTAATTGTGTTACCAAATTTGTGATGGGTCTGACCCAAATGATTTAAAGAAACACCAGTTGTGTTTCAGCTTTTGTTAAGTTCAGGTATGAGCTGATACTGTGATTTCACTTCCCTCTTTGCTATAGCAAGTGAATATTCCTGTGCTTTAAGACACAGAATTTGGCAGTGGTTGGTGTCGGTGCCCAGCTGGTTTTGAAATGGGCCACAGTGCTGAAGGAGTGTTAAAAAAAGTGTTTAAAAATACATGTGTAACTCCAGACTGCATCACAGCAGTGAGCCTGAGGCTTTACTCACCTGTTGTTGTGCACTGAGCAGAGAAGACAGTCTTCTTAAAAGAAACTGAATTCACTCCTTGGTAAATACCACACCTGGGGTTTATTTATCCTAAAGAAAATTACACCTTTCAGTACTTCATTTATTTGGGGGTGGGGTGGGGTGTGTTTTCTCTCCTAAACAAAAAAACAACCAGTGCTAAATCTTATTTCATTGTGGATGAATAACAAAAATTGCTCTCCTGCACCTCTGTCTTGGTCTTGACATAGATACTCTGTAAAGAAACAAAAATGGGATGGAAAAGATTCTATTCCACGTGGAAATAGGGGCGTGGAAGTTTGAAAAGTATTTGGGGGAATGTTGACCAGGATTTTAGAGTGGGGGATAGGATCCTAGAGCCATTCAGGTACATGAGGTTTATATTATTTAGGTATTATGTAGTGTCAACTTCCTTGGGCTGTCACTGTGAGCTGAGTCAAGAGTTGCTTCTTCTACGACCAGCGTGGACTGGGGAGGTTGGGATTGAAGGATCTCTCGAGTAAAGGGTGCCAGGTGGGGTTCTGAGGCACGAACAGCAGCGTTCCACAGGGTTAGAGGTGCTGGTCTGTGCGAAACACGAGCATCACTCCGAAACCAGAGCGTAACTGCACTGCCTGGAGCGTTAATTGACTCTGTAATGTTAGTGTAATTATGTTTTAATGCAATAATGGCATGTCTGGGTGTCAGAGCTGAGGCTGGTGAGGAGTGATGGCTGAAGCAAGCAAGAAACAGTGGACTGGGACTCGTTGCAGATGAACACCAAGATTTTTTAGCAGTCAAATAATCTGAAGCCCACAGCGGTGTTTTTAAACCGGGTGTTCTTCTGGCGGTCAGAGCCCTGTTCCCTGTAACCCCCAGGTTATGATGCCATGGATTCTCCTGCAGATACACACTTTAAACTGGCTTTATTATGCTGCTTCTTGAAGTTTTCTGTGAATGTCACTAAAAATTTTGAGTTCCAGGCTTACCTCTACAGGCAAACCTTGAATATTCCAGCTGTGCTGCAGTTGTAGTTTCAGGCGTGGGATTCCCGCTCCCTTTCTTTTTCTTTTCTTTCTTTTTTTTTTTTAATGAAGGAGAGAATGTTGTCACAACTCATTGTGAGGATTTCAAAATAAATTTGTGTGTCCTGGGGCGTTAAAAGCTTTGGGAGGGAAGGGACCTTAAAGATCATGTGGTTCCAACTGCTTGCCACGGGAGTTGTTCTGGCGTGTTGTCTGCTGGTCATCTTTTCTTTGTGATTGATTCCTGCATAACAAGAAGTTTTACTGGAATTTAATGTTGCTTTAAACTTTACTGCATTCCTACATAGTTAAGAATCACCTGGGACAAGCTGAAGCTCAAAATTGTGATTTATTATCCATGCTTTTAGTCTGAAAAAATCCTGAGAGACCTCCTGAAACTGGCAGGTTACTTAATGAGATAATGGAGCTAAATACATGGGTACAGACACTTCCTCCTTTATAGAGACTCTTTCATTGTGGAAAACAAATGACTGGAGCCGAGACTGGGAAATCACAGAGGGCTGGAGGTGAAAATGAGCTGTTCCTTTCGAAATCAGGAAGAATTCCTCGTCCCTCTTGGCCTGACACGGTGTTGAACCGATGGGGCTGTGCAATGTAATAATTAACTCGGGAGAGATATGAACAGCATGATGTGTTTTATCTGTGCTGGTTTTACAGGAAAATGCAGGATTACATCAGGTGTTCAGAAGGGGCAGAGGTGGAGAGGGAGAGAAGACAATGACAGCTGCAGTTGGTGTGATGTTCAGCATCCTCTTGGGTGTCTCCGTGTTATTCATATTGCTCACAGGGTGGCTGAAGCTTAAATTTTCCAGGTTCACTACAGAAAGAGGCACTGAATTCCTGGGGTGGCTTGAAAGGAAGAAAATGTTCTCATTCCAGTCACAAACAGCCTGCTTATCGCATCTCTGCTGCTTAGTTTTAAGAAGCAATCTCAGATACAGGCTTGAAATAAATTCCCCTCTTCGGCTCCCGTGAGATTTAGAGCAAGGATAAGAGTTTTTCAGCACCAGGAGATGCCCACTGAGAAAACTCAGTGTCAGAAAGACAGCAAATATATATGTAAAAAGTAGAGTTCTGCGAGGAATTAACACATTTGCCCATATTTATGAGGCTCTTCTCTGCTGTGCCCTGCTTTTCTAACCTTAACTTTTATGCCTCTCTTTTCTAGATGTTTCTGTATCTTCCTTTTTCAGAGCAGCAGCCTTGCTTCGTGGGGTTTGTGTGTATGGTTTTTGCAGATGCCAGGTGTTGATTTGCCACATTCCCAAAGCCCCCTTGGTGCTTACCCACCCTCCTGATGCTCCTTTGCTGGATAACTTGCCTGGGGACCCCATAACCATCCCATAGCTCCATCCCACTGCTTGTAGGGAAGGTTTGGGTTGTTCCTGTGCACCCCAGATGTCCTGCTGGGCTCTCTCGGCTCTCAGGTGGAGGTGGACCCGCCCCAGGGAACGTTTCCAAGCCGAGATCCAAGTTTGGTCCTTTGATTTCACTGCAGATAAGACCTGTCAGCACTGTGAGCTCACACATGAGCTTCCCGATGAAAGAAATGTTTATCTGGCCGTTCCTCTCTGTTGTTCTTGGCTCAGCACCTCCTGTCTGGTGGCCTGGGAGAAGGTGCAGTGTTGGGTCTCCGAAAAAAAAAGTGTGACAAGAAGATGGCATGAATTAAAATCTGCACTGCTCTTACTGGGGAAAAAATGTCGTGGTTTGTTTTTCGTAGATAAAACGATACGAAATTGGAGTGTGATTGATTGTAGGGTGCAGCAAAGGGAACGGGTTTTTTTTTCCCCCGGATCTCATTACTCAGGTGCAGGAGTTTTATCCATTCTTTTTTAAGGCCTCCTTGCAGATGGAGCAGTGGAGAAAGGAATGACACTTAATGAGGGGCAGGGACTCTATGACTCCATGTTTTTCCCAAAAAGGCAAACGAGTTCACATCTGTGTGTGGCACCTGAAAGTCTCATCAGCTCCCTTAATTTTTTTCCTTTCTGTTTTCTTTGGGGTTTTTTTCTTTTTTTTTTTTTTTTTTTAAATATGTATTTATTGGATGTTAAGGGGCGAGCACTTCAAGCCAACAGTGGGAAACATTCCAGCCTCTGCCTGGGACCCTGATGGAATTGCTGTAGAAAATTGTGTGGGGATAAATAAAAAAAAAAAGCTTTTAGTTAAGAAGGTTCAAGTAGTGCTATAGGTAAAATAACCTAGAAATAATGAACAAATTATCACTGAACAAATCATATAAAAGCAACTTCCTCTAGGACA